CTCTTTCTGCTCCATCAAGAATGCAAACATCTCCGCGCTTAGCTGCTGCAACCAACTGGCTATCTTCCCACAATGTGTCCCCATTATCCAGCATACGACGTCGCTGGAGCAGTTCTCGTGCGTTCATATCCTTGATAGGCAACGTATAGAGACAAATGAACCCGTCGACGCGCTTATAGAATAGAAATGCTAAAAGTATAAACAACTGCTCAAGATTACCTGGTACAATATCATTGTCTCAGTACTGAACCCTAATCGAGCCGCCAATTCCGCGATCAGTTTGGTCTTTCCCGTACCCTTTGCACCTAGACGAAACAATTATTATAAACGCACATGAAACTATTCCGAGCAGGCTTTACTGTTCCAGAACTACCTAGTAATGCAAAGTCTCCCTGAGAGTGAGCAATTGCAAGATTCGCTAGCAAAGTCTCCTGCTGAGGTGTAGAAACGAAGCTGCGATCTTCCTTAGAAGGTTTACCATTCACATCGGTCTAAAAAATGCCGAACACCATTTTGAAGCGGGGTTAGTCAAGAAAATGTAACATACTGAAAATTTTCGTGTTTTTCCGGAATGATCGACAGACACCTCGATACTCCTTGAACCTTCTTCGTCTGAAGTACTCACATGAGTTATGACAGCGGTAGACTCGTGGGAGCCGCTTCTCTGAAGTTACAAGATAAAACAAAGATGAAGTGATATCCAAAAAACTCAAAGACAAGCTGTATTTCCATTCGAAAACAGTCTTTGATACCTGCCTATGATAGGACCGAAGCTGCAGCAGCGTGCCACTTTCTCCGCTTGAAAATGCACGGGAAGGGGCTGTAGGGTAATGGGACTCGGGCATACTCCATTCGCGCTATCCACAAGGTGAAGCAATTGCTGGCCCGCAGCGGACACGCAGTCAGAGGCAGAGAAGAAAGAGCACAGATAAGGAGAGAGTTCGGCTATGTTAGGCGTGCAGCTGGCCCTACGTCAACATGGGCAGGGTCCGGAACGACATTACGACACTACAGCAACGTTTTCGTACACTTTGAGCAGAGAAAGTGGCGCGGATCCATTCACATCGCACTACGACCAAGATCCACGGAAGCGACTGTACAGTTCGTCTACAAAAGAAGAGCCCTGGTAAAGATAATGCGCTAACCTCAGAGATAAACTTGTCGACGAACTCCTCCGCGACCTTGACTTCATGCTCCTTGAACATGCTCTTGTACGGATAAATAAGTTTGAACATCTCGTCAGGAGAATACGACGGATTGATATTCTGGCAACAGCTTTCATGAGGTAAGGATACAGAAAAGAAAGTATATGTAGATGGACTCACCCATATTCGCATTATTCTTTCTGCTTTTTCCATGGGTACAAGAGACAGACCGAGATCAGATTGGGAATTTATAGCGTACATTAGCGACAGTAGATCGTTGATGGAATTCGAACTCACGTTCGGAGCTAACGAGGTGCAAAGACGTCGAACACTCTGAACTCACCAGTTAAGGACAAATGACATTATCTTCAACGTAGCAGGAATGGCAGTCAAAATTTTTAGAGATCAGGCGTTAGTAGCTATGGTGACAATTTGTAAAGTCTTGTAAGCGTACCCATCTACCGAGTTGGCCCAAAAGTAGTAGTTTTTTTTCTCACGCAAATTTTCATGTGGAAAATGATATGATACTAGAAAATGATGATATAAAAATGATACGAAAAAATGATACAAAAACTTTTTGCACTTTCCCTCGGCTCTTAAATTACAGGAGAAACAGACAATTCGTAATATGTACGATAAAAGAAAGATGCGTCTCACGACAGCTTGAACTTGGTTCAAGCGATCAAGAGGTGGGTTTTCGGACCTTGTAAATGTGCAATACATGAAGGCCCTCTTGGGGAGCGACGGCCTGCAGAACCTACCCACTAATTTTTGGGCGTTTAACATCACGTGGAGGTAGTGATTGATTGTGATAACAAAGCATTCCATGACTCTAACGATTCCCCATCCTTGGTATGAATCTCCATGAATAAGGTTATTCAGTAAGCTCTCAGTTGGACTCAATAGGGCATTAGGTCCGATGCTTCTCTGTGAGGTCGATATTGAAATCTTCGAATCACCTAAACTATTGTGAGCATTTCTGAGAAGCATAGCCTTTCTGCCATATACTTAGCAACTGGGCCTGTGGGGTTTAGTTTTTAGTTGGAGCAAGAGAGGCTGTCGAAAATGCTCAATTTCGTCGACCTGACACTCCAGTTTGAGCACTTAAATATTAGTGGAAAGAGAAACTTCAAGAAAACTAAGAAGACTATCGTATAGGGCAAGGAATTCTCTACAAAACAGTATGAAATTCAGTGGCAAAACTTTTCATCTTCAGCGCGATATTTCGAGTGAGAAAAAACGCCATTACTTATGGGCCGACCCAATTCTTCAGCGTAAACCTGAGCAGTACTGTAAGATAACAGCTTTGCAGGGCAGCTAAAACGCTCGAACTTGCATCAGTCAACTTGCACACCGCTTCATCGATTCTTCATATTCTAACATTCTAAGGTGTGAAAAAGACTGGAAGCCAGAGATGGAAGATTTTTGCGTAGTAGTAGTAGTAGGAAGGAAGGTCCTGGGAGAGTGCGAAAATTGTTCTACGCTTCCTTGATCACTAGTCTACTAGGTTGATGCATGTTTCTGGCCCCCTGTTTTGATCCTTCCGTATTTCGTTTGCATGGAGGTTGGTATTTCGTCATCACGTGTGCGTGACGTGTACATGATACTCTTTCATCACACTAGCTATCACTCACCCACCCTGCATTTGCAGGCTACAATGCCGCACAATGCATTGTGGCCTTCTTCGGGTCCCAGCCCCGTCCTTCTGGGAGGATGGAATCGACAAGCTGCCTGAGCGTTGGCGTCGAGTAGTGGATGGTGATGGTGCATACCTCTAATCTTCAGGCTGGTTCGCTATTGAGATATTTACAAAAAAGTCGGGACCAAAAACATATGCATCAACCTAATACGCACCACTGATCTTTGCAGAACACCAAATATATTCACAGACCTTAAAATGGCCAGATATATTGGGTAAGGGACGTGCTTATCAGTTACGCGGTGTCCGGTTCAGAATCCCAATCGGCTCCCCTAGGCCAACCCTACTTTTCCACTGGGGCTAGTAAATTGGCACCAGATTGGCCTAAGAGGATAAAACCATCAGGATGTGCATCGCCTGGTCCCGCAGGCCATGGGATAGGCTATATCGCAACCAATAAGCCTCCATCCTTTATCATTCTGAATGGAGGCGCACTCTTCTTCGCTGCGGATGAAGGGGAGTGTCGTGCGATTGGGTTTGGCGCCAGGGCGGCCTTTTCCATTAGTTGTTGAAGCCAGGTAGATGGCAGCAATTGCTAGGAAACAGACTGATACGAATATGATACAGACTTGACACATGCCGAAAGAAAAAAAAGAACGTGCAAGTGTCGTGCCAAACCCATCCCCCTCGACACGCCCTAGCAACAGTATGGAATGTGTGCAGCAACGTACAAAATGGGGCTGATCAACGGCAGTTCATCAACAATTCTACGCTTTGTCCTTGTCTGTTGGACTGTAATCGCCACATCCTACTGCCTGAGCAGACCAAAGCACTAATGAGGAAAAAAGTCATAAAGCGCACCTCAAATGAAGGTTCAGTGACGTTGCGACACTGAAAACGGGATCTAAGGGGAGGATCGAGAGAATTGCCATGGAATCTCGGAACGGGTAGACCAAGTGCGATCACATGAAAACGTTCAGAGACACGTTCGATGCCCATATCTCCGAGTTCTCTTGCCGTGTAATTCTAGAGAAAAAGATGAAGGTATAAATCTATCAAGGACTAATAGCATAAAATATGTAGTGGTGAACCCTTACACTTGTGAGCTTGTCGTACTTGTCAGGTCGCATGAGAAAACGCCCATCGTCAAGCTGCATTTCTCTGGAATGGTAGAAGGCTAAGAAGCAGATGAATGGGAAACATCTCGAATAAATACAGTACCTATTCTCCAACAGGTTATTCAGAATAGGCAACACATTTCGCTCAGCTTTTTCCACGCCATCTATTACTAGGATACGTCCATGCAGTGCAGCCCGAACTGCACACTAAATTGCTAATACTACCTTAATTACAGTATAACTGGAGAGAAAAACAAGAAAAAGCCTTTGAATCAGCAGCTTACAAGGTCGGTGTAAAAAGCAGTACCACTACGAATCTCTCGTCTCTGTTTGATATCACTCTCTGTTGTATCCCTTGTAATTGCAAGATATTCGTATTCTCGATTACATAACTCCTGGAAATTAAACAAAATTACCACAGCCTTTTGATTATTCAGAGTCGAACATACAAGATATTGTAGTACAATGTCAGACCGTAGTGCACCCGGAATTCCAATTAGAAACACGTCTTGTCCCAGAATCTCTTTTTGCAGTAACCATTTTAAATGACCCAACGCTTCATCGGGAGCTCGAACCTCAAATGCTGAAACGTCAAGGTAAGTGCTGTTTAGTGTACTTGTTAAGATAAGAATTAGAAGTATTATATATAAAAAGGTGCAGAGCGTGGAGAGTGACTACTTGTGGCAGTGCACCTATTCGGGTAGGGAACAGCTTATCTGGGTCGCAGTGAGGATGGCGAAAGAGTGCCGCGAAGGGACATTCACCGCAGCACCCAACAAATTCGACGGGGTAATGCTGAAGCACGTCTCGTAAATTAGCTGAGCAATATTCTACTAGTCTCTGCGCGGATCGGCGTTTCGGACGTCTTGCACCACACGGCAGCCGTTGCGCGCGATCATTTTTACATCCAGCGGCTTAGGAACTATTCCTCGATCACTGCACCAAACTAGCCAAGCACTACGCTTTAAGTTCCGAGTACAGTACCATTCCAGCCGAACCGCAGAAGAATGATGAAGCTGATTCCACGGATCGATTCAGAGAGTTGGAGCGTGGAAAGAAAGAGAGATCAAAACTATGTGCAAATGAAAGGGTAAAAGATGGACAAATAAAGGAAGGGTCCAGTGATTAACTTTCGTACTTTATTTCACAAGTCTAAACAACTTTATTTACACCACTCAAGTCTCTTAATGTCCGTGAATAGAATGCATTAGTGTATACAGCCCTGCTCGCTGCGGATGAGAGGCTAGATTTTTCGCGCCGCTAGCCCGTCCTCCAGTTGTTGAAGCGGGTAAGCGACAACAGCTGGTGGAAAACGGCTGATATGAACGATATGGTACAGGCGTGTCGTCTGCCCACAGAACAAAAATGAAAAAAGGGCTGGCGATATGCCAAAATTATTCCTCCTTGACATATTTCACTATCCACAGCGAACAAGGCTGTAGTTTGCGGAAGTTCCTTGAAAGGATTACCGCTGCCACTGCCATTCATACTGTGGAAATAGCTGTGGCCTGATAAATGAAAGAAAGCAAATGTTGCTTTTCACCTGCACTTGAGCTGCACTTATACCCGAATGTTGCGAACTGAACTGCCCTGACAATTAGTTCGTACTCACGTAGGCAGACGATTGATAAGGCACAGCGAATTTAACGGTAAGTATGCATCTCCTCTATGTGAACCGAATATGTGCAGCCTATCAGAAAATCCGTTTATATGCACGGGAATAGGCCTGAGGTCCTAACAGCCGTATCTTCAGCAGTCAGCATGTATTCGTTCAGAGAACGCTACCTTCAACTTACTCGCTGCGAGTGGTGGGCAGGTAAGGTGGGATGAGGATTCTGGAGAGGCGCGAAACCCGTTTTTTACCAGTTTCTGAAGCGAGTAAGCGACAAGACTGTATCACATCGCTCATATCAGTTGTCTTCCACCAACTGTTGTCGCTTACTCGCTTCAACAACTGGTGGAGAACGAACTGGCGGCGCGCCGGAACCCAGCCTCACAGACACGCCCCATCATACGCAGCGAACAAGACTGTATCCATTAACGAGGTAACGAGAGAAAACAACCACTGAATAAACACTAACCGCTGAACCGTGCCGGTACTAATTCAGGTCGAGTGGCTTCTTTTATAGGAATGCGTAAGGAACCTAGTTTGAGAACAGCCTTGTTCACATCGACTGCACCTATAAAAAGTAGCTCAGCTATTTTTAGGTGGTGCAATAAGTACTTTACTGCAGTACAGCACTAACTTGATAGAAGCCGCCTCGGAAGGATCGACAGAGCTCGTATACAAACCATCCTAAAAGTCAGTCGATCACCACGATATGTCGTGATTTTCGCAGTCTCCAAAACATTGCTTAGGCTGCGTTCATACATTGCGTCAGCGTTTTGAACCACAAGGAATGTGTAAGTATGATCTAGCGCATGCAAGCATCCAACAGCGTTTTAGCTTTCGCCGGCGTGCAGCAGCGTTTCTTGTTACTAGGAAAGTATGGATATCGATTGGGGAAACTGAGCGTACGTGGGCATTTGGAGCCTTCTAGTGGTCAGGCTGGAACTTAGGCGGGAAGCCGCTGAAGACGCCAGATCGATATCTATACTTTCCTAGTCGCTCGAAACACTGCCGTACGTTCAAACCCTGATCCAAAGTATAAACGCAGCCTCACACTCATATTAAGGGAAGAAAACCGTGACCTTTTGGACAGGCTACAGAACACATTAACGAACCAAACTGATTGAAAACAAAAGAAAATTATGAAATTACCTCCGAGGATCGACGATGGTGCTACTGCTCAGGACATTTGCTATAGCGTTAACCTAGGGCACACAAGTGTGGAGTCTGAAGTGACGATGATGAGTCATACGAGTACGAGTTGATGAGCAGACTGGGGTCAAAGTACATGCCGAAACCGCATCTCGTATACAAAGTACGTGTACTCATAACAACATACAACAAAGTGCATTCCTTTACTTGTGTGGTCTATACCCATAATCAATGATAGCAACTGTCTACCATAAATTGTGACACTTGTGAAAGTAGTCTGAGATTATAGTGTATGTGAATAAATACTATTTACAAATGTCATGTTCAACGATTGAAAAATCGACGAAAGACTAAGGATTTAAGAATTGAAGCCGAAGAGCAGGCAAAATGAAACAAAATGCATAGTAAGGCAAAATAAAGACACTGAGAAAGCAGAAAGAAGAGAATTGAGACTATTTCTTAAATAGAGCAAGAAGAAATGCAGTGGCGATACCAAAAATTGTAGTGAGAAGGAGCTGAAAATAATCAATATTATTATCAGCACCAAAATTTCATCACAACAAACCACATACCTTTTCTTTGGATCGATATTTGTGGAGTTCGTCTTCCAACTGATAAAGTCTGGATGAAAGACCTCCTTAAAAGCAAGCCATGGAGAAGAAACATGACAAGACCATACTTAAAATGGGTTACCAATTTGTCGTCGCATTATCTTAAGTTCTCTTATAGGATTTTCATCGATGGCCATAGAGCTATCACATCGCGCCGATTCGTCCTACAAGAAGAACTAGTTTGTGTGGGTTCAAAGTTCGCAACTATGGAGTAACAGTTAATAGAAGAATCGGAGTAGGTGCAAAGGAAAGTGTAAGCATCGATATGGAGAACCGCATGATGCGCAAAAAGTTAGATGGGAATCGATTGATCCCGGCCCCTATTTTACCGATTGAACAAGCAACTACTCTAATTCGTGCATGGTCCTGTAGCGAAACCCTGAAAGGCAGCTAGAGGACAGCAGTTGTCTATCTCTCTAAAAGTGTATGTCGCTAGCCAGGCGATCGTGTTCCCAAAAAGAGGTGATTTTATTTAGTGTGAGCTCTAACCATACTAAAGTTTGTCGACAGAGTTGTCGCACAATGCCGTGCGGATGAGAGAGAGCTGAGAATAACCGAAAGCTAAAATAATTAAAGGAAATGAGCTCATTGTTCGTAGACACTCCTCGCTGGTGGGCGGAGTCGCTTGATTCTCAAATGACCACTCAACAAGCGTTCTGCTATGCTTGGCGTGCTGGGTCACGAAATAAAACGCTGCCTTAGAATGGGGATAGTAGGGGTTTCTTTTTTCATGAACGAACAGGAGTGGACAAAAAGTGAAAAACTCACAGGCATATTGGCTTCGTCGCCTAAATCAGGAGCTGGAATATCGTGGAGCGTTATTGAAGGCGGTACATTCAACAAACAGCTCTGAAACCATCAAAGTTTATTGCCTACTCAATTGTATTAATGGCAGATATCGTTAAACTCGGGATCGCTGTAGTTAGACTGGGCGTGCCAATGACGCGTCGCTTTTGCCGCGCCGCGCCAGCATGCTTTCCACCAATCGCTGCGGCTTGTGGCGTGAATTAGTGCTGGGAAAGGGGCCGGTTTCCACGCGCCGCTGATAGGCCCCGATTGAGATCAGTGATAGTGTTTAAGTTACGATATATTGGGCTGCGTTCATACTTTGCGAATGTGAAGATTCCGCAAACTAGGAATGCCTGAGTGAGAACTCTTAAGTGTCGGGCTGGAGAGTCTGCGAATTTTGAGAGCGCACAATCTCCAGATTTGCTCGTGTGCTAGTGGATGAGGTCAATCAAGTCTCATCTGAGCGTGCTTCCATACATTGCGTCAGCGTTTTGAGCGACTGGAAAAGCACAGGTATCAATCTAGCGTTTTGAGCGTATGCTACGGCACCGCTCTGAGCGACTAGGAAGTATAAAAACTGTTCTAGCGTTCTAGCGAATGCCCGCGAAAAGTTCAAACTGCCGGCGAAAAGCTCAGTTGGTGGCGTACGTTCATAACTTTAACGCAAAGTGTGAACACAGTGCCCAGAAATACCGATCCAGAAGGAATTCACGTAGGAATGTCAGTACTGAGAATAATACTGGTTATTTCCAGCTTCTTCTCATATAAATTATAACTATTTGAGTTATAACTGGATCACAGCAAGAATTTTTAGATGTTTTCTGTGGATTCTATTTATGCTTCAACATATCTCAACTTCATAGTAACGTTTTACTGGATACCTCGCTGGAAGATAATGACTGATTTTCCATCAAATCAGTCGGCTGAGAAGTAAAGCCTTTGTAGCTATTCCCGCCAGTCAATACGATACGATCTGGTACGTTCATCAGTTGAACTGCACGTTCGTGGTCCGTAATCCCCTGCTCCTGCAACATTCGAAGTCGTCAAAGATCAATGCGCACAGATCAATGATTACTATTCGGTAAGAAAACAGGTGAGATAGTAAAAGCCTTTATCTTACCAAAGCTCTGCTAATACTTAACGGTTGACCAGTAACTGATATGTGCTCCGGCACGTGCATATTTCTAAATTGTCAAGTATTTTATAGTGTAGTTATGTAAACACCTATAAAACTAATGAGACTTACAAAGAAAGCGGGCGCTGATTATGTTTCCGTGGCATAACTATGAATACTAATCGAAAATGACTACTTTTTAACTCAAAATGAATAGAAAGTAAGGTGGTAGTAGTACCACACGTCCATTCAAAATGTGTAATACGGAAACATGTGAAAACGCCCGTTTATCTCCGGTCCACGCTTAGCTCATCAACAAAGAATTCAATCGATACAAGTTACAGTCCTATCATCATCATTACACGATAGAAATATTTCATCGAAACTTACAAGTATTTATGATGGAAGGTAAAGGGAGAGAGTTTCAAGACGTTGAATTGAAGAGTTTTAGTGATATAAGAGCAATGGCGCAATACTCCGAGAATCAGGCTTAAAAACCCTACTCTTGGTATGAGAACTGGAAAATTTTATTACTATTTGGGTTCAACTTCGATTTTTCCCTACATTTTTAAAGTTTCAATTACTTTACTTCGGATGAAGAGCACAATAGGCGCAACGTAATTGTCCCAAATAACTCATAATACCAAAATGTTGTGAAGGAACCTAATGGCAGACGAAATAAAGTAAGCAGTACTCAGTGCGAATAAGTTATTACTGACAAGGTCGTGGTGACCTTTCCGCACGGATGTCGTTTGCGGCACTGTCGCACGTCGCGCGCGCGGCACTCGAGACTATTTGACCGTTCGCTGAGGAACCATGACCAAGGCACATCATCCGGGAATGGGAATCACAGCGAAGAGGGTCGTATGTGATTACTGGGGACGGGATCGTACTTGGACTTGGAAGAAATTTTTTAGACTGTTGATTTTACCGTTCCACGCGCGCTATCCACCACCCTAGAAGGTGGGCTAATGCCGTTTGGACTCCAGCAATTTCGGCACCGAGCTCATTTTTAAATTGCCTAAGTCACCAAAACCCGCTGAAAACATGTACACAAGGGTTATTTACCATCGTGATTACAATTATGACACTCATTCTTGGCGCTGGCGCCAAGGGATGACACTACGATTACCTCTTGGGCTCAGCCTTAGCGGAGCGCAGATAATCGTAGTGTCATCCATTAGCGCCAGCGGCAAGAGTGAATGTCATATTCGTAATCAGGATGTTAAACTACCCCTATATACAAGTTTTTAGCGGATTTGGTGACTTAGGCAATTTAAAAATGAGCTCGGTGCCGAAATTGCTGGAGTCCAAACGGCATTAGCCTAGAAGGTGGAGAGGGTACTGCTAAAGTAGCCAGTGCAGAACGCAAAAAGCTTTCCTTGGCAAAAAATGCCACAAGCATTACTACACTATACAATATCATTGCAGGGTTTCGAGTGTTGTCAAGTTGGGAACAGCAAAATGAGGTGTGCTCGTTCATGCGAGCACGAATGATACAGTCTGGCTCGCTGCAGATGAAGGGGCGTGTCTCCGCGGCTGCGTTTGGCACGCCGCCAAATCCGTTACCCACTACTTCTTCGAGCGGGCAGATGACAACAACTGGCGAAAAAAAGACTGATACCAACTATATGACAAACTCGCATTGCTTGCTGAAAGAGAAAAAGAAAAAAAAAACTGGATGGCATTGCGCTGAAAGGCAACCCCGCAGACAGGCCCCATCATCTGCAGCAAGCCAGATTATAACTCCGAAAAAGGACAAATTTATCACTGGATCTCCAAGAACTAGATGGTGGCTAGAGTATGGTGCCCACGAAAACTCCCTCTTTCAGAAGTGCGCGTTCTTTTGACGGGATTTTCTACGAGGGTACTGCTTTAGATTCTAAGCAGCAAGTTTTTCTGTAACTATCAAAATTAACGACCTTCTGCTGCGACACAGGACATCAAACGTAAGACAACGGAATCGAGGCCGCGCCGCATAGAGTCCAATAAGGAAGATATATGGGAATAGCTCCGTTTGCATTTGGCCTCATTTGTCTTCCAAGTCCTTACTTGATAGAGCCCTAGCTTGGTTTTCATTTTGTGTCGATAACAATGGGAGACTCATTACTATTTCCTATGTACCCGTGATGGATATTTCATTCTAACAAGGGTACAGTTTTTCTATAGCGAATTTTCTTCTTCATGTTCTACTGACTACGCCAACCACTTCACAATTGTTTGGGCACATTGCTGCATTTCATCATGGAAACTTTACATACATTTGACCACGGCGATTCCTCCACGCGGCGCACGCTATTCTTCACTGCATCTTGTAGGCCTTTGTTTATGGCCTTTTTGGTCAAGATGTAAACTTCGGACACTCGGTATCTACGAAGCCCTCAAACTCCGTTTACGATATATTGGATGTCCCGCAAACAATTTCCAGACTCTTCGCAATCGATCGAAAGGTCAAGCTGTCATTCCTCATAAACCTCTTTTTAAAATGTGTGTGTGTTATTTCAGTACATTACTGGTCGTGTTGTCCGTTTTTTTCTTCATGTCGACTTGCTTTTAGTTTTTCGCTGACTGACGATCTTCGGCCAGTTTAAAGTGGAGTATTCAGCTGACAAGTAGTGACGGAGTCACGCCACCGAAGGTCGCCTCGTACGCTCCCACCCTGATGGATTTTGC